ACCCAGTAACCTATATTTGGGAAAATAAACAGTGAGTTCATTATGCTGACTTTAACTCAAACTCTCTGTTTTTAATTAATTATCTCACTTCTATTTTCAGTCTGGTAGTATTCCAGAACCCAGTCTTTCTAACTGAACCTCTCCATGGAAAACTCCATGCTTCTGCAGGAATAGGAGAAGAAGAGTCATGCTATTGTTTGTTTGGGGATGGGAAATTTGGAGGTGGGTATATCTACTCCTTACCCAAATTTTCAAATAATCTCCAATTTTTCAAGTCCACTATGTACATATATTTTAAGGTACTTCCAATTCCTAAACCTTACCAAGGTTTTAGTTTTCAGCTAAATTTCTTAATGGCTTCTTGCTTGAGGAGTTTTTGCAGAGTGGAGAAAATCTAAATTTAAATCACATTAATCCATCCATCTCCCATCTCCCAAAATTTTATTTATCATCTCTTATAATCTCCTAACCAATAATCCTTGCCTTTCTGGGCCTGTACCATTTATATTAATGTTACCTTCCCATAGTTATTAACCCAAGGATTTATTCACTGAATTATAGGACTTGTATAATTAGCAAAAGTGAAGATCGCTTTCTGTCAGTATTTTCTTCCATTTCATAAGTCTATTGCAAGAATCTTGAAAAGCATTATACCATACCTGGAGTTTGAAAATATTTATGGATAAAATATTTCCAAAATAAGTTTAAAAATTAAGATGGTAGACACAAATACCTTGGATTCTGATTATGGCTCTAAATTACATTGCAAAATTTTAATCACTCAGTGCCCTAAGCTTCTTTCCTGTAAACCGGAGATAACAACAGTATCTAAATCATGTGGTTATAGTGAGAACTAAATAATGTGTAAAATACTCAGAAGAATGGAACAGTTTCACAAAGCATTCCAGTGTACTATTGTTCTTCCTGAGCTCTCCCAGACTTAAAATTTCCCTCCATTTTTGTACTTAACTATTTAGATCTCTTTCTCTTACTCTTCTGCTTTTTAAGAGTATCTAGGACCAATCAAGTGTTACTATGTTGTGTTTTCATTTTAATTCATCTCAAAGGATTTCTCATCCTCCTTATTATTTCTTCTTTCTTCCATAAGTTATTCAGGAATATATTGTTTGATTTCCACATATTTATGAGTTTCACAAATTTCTTTTTGTTAATGATTTCTAATTTCATTCCATTGTTGCCTGAGAGCATACTCTATATCATTTACATCCTTCTAAATTCATTATAATCCATGTTATGTCCTAGCATATGGTCTATCCTGGATAATGTTTCATGTACACTTGAAAGGAATGTAAGTTCTGATGCTGTTAGGTGAAATGTTCCATAGACATCTCTTAGTTCTAGTTGGTTAATATTGTTGTTCAAGTCTTCTATTTTCTGTTCATTTTCTGTCTAGCTATTCAGTTATTAAAAGTAGGGTATTCGAGTATTCAAATATTATAATAGAGCTATTTTTCCTTTCAGTTGTGCCCAATTTTGCCTCAGGTATTTTGAGTTTCTGTTGTTAGGTACATATATATTTATAATTATTATATATTATTGAGGAATTACCATTTTTTAAAAAGATTTATTTATTTATTTTAGAGAGAGACGGAGAGAGAGAGTGTGAGCAGAAGGAGGAGAGTGAATCTTCAAACAGACTCCCCATTGGGTGCAGAGGCTGACACAGGGCTTAATTTCAAGATTCTGAGATCATGACCTGAGCCAAAATCAAGAGTCAGCCCCTTAACTCATGAGCCACTCGGATGCTCCTGGAATAACCATTTTATTATTATAATATCTATTTGTCTCTAGTAAAAATTTTTATCTTAAGATGTATTTTTCTGGGGCACCTGGGTGGCTCGGTCAGTTAAGCGTCTGACTTTGGCTCAGGTAATGATCTCAGGGTTCTGGGATCCAGCTACACATCCTGCTTCATGCTCAGCAGGGTGTCCGCTTCTCCCTCCTCTGCCCCTCCCCCTGCTTGTGCACTCTCTCTCTCTCTCTCTCTCTCACAAATAAATAAAATCTTCAAAAAACATACTTTTTGATATTTGCTTAGCAGGCCAGTTTGGTTTGGTTACTATTTTTCCGGTATATCTGTTTCAATCCTTTTATATTTTACCTATACATGTTATATAGATAAAAGTGTATCACTTTGTTAGAGAGCATATGTTTGGATCTTTTTTTTTTTAATTTACCCTGCAAATTTCTACCTTTAGATGGCATGCTTAATCTTTTTATATTAAATATAATTATATTTAATTTTGTAATTTTATATTAAATATAATTCATGTGGGATTTTTTTGTCTGGCATTTGCAAATTTATTTTGCATATGTCATGTCTTTTTCTAATTGCTCTACCTCTATTACCAACTTGGTTTTGCTGTTGTTGCTATTAAACAGATATTTTCTAGTGTTCTATTTCAATTCCCTTATTTTTTTACTATATGTTTGAGCTATATATTCTTTTTTTAAAGATTTTATTTTTTTGAGAGAGTGAATGAGAGAGAGAGAGAAGAGAACAGGAGCAGAAGGAGAAGACTTCCCTGCTGAGTAGGGAGTCTGATGTGGGGCTCTATCCCAGGACACTGGCATCATGACCTGAGCCAAAGGCAGACACTTAACCAACTGAGCCCTTGAGGAAGGAAGCACCCCTTGAGTTATTATATTGTTAATGCTTGCCCTAAGGAACATAACTAACATCTTAACTTATAAGTAACTAGCTCTGATTGATACCAACTTAATTTCAATAGTATATAAAATTTTGCTCCTATGTAGCTCCATTCCATTCCCCTCCTAGAGCCTAGCATCATCACCCTGTTTCTGTGGAAACTTGTGTGGAACTCTTGAGCTTCTAAACACCTCAAAGAGACATTTAATAAGATCAAAGGTTCTGGAGGGAGGATGCATTTCCTTGCCACAATTTTAATTTTACTATATGACTAGATAATGCATGCTTTTTGTACAAAATTCAAAAGTAACAGTGGTGAATGTAATTCTCTTATACACTTTTCCTTCAGCCACCCATTTCCCCCTCCCGGAAGCAATCATTTTTTTTTTTCAGGGGTAGTTTAGTCAGACATGGGCCATACAGAGGATAATTCCTCTTATTAAGGTAATTTTGTGCTTTATTTTTCTGAATTGCACTCTGCAGGAATCTGAATTCTTTTTCTAAGATGAGCCTTAAGAGATAAGTCAGCTTCAGTATAACCTTTATTGTCTCCTTATTCCATCTCACCCAAATAATAGCATCTTTGAATTTTATCAATAAAAGTGAGATTCATTGGCTTCAACTGTGCTGATCTACTCACTCAGGAGAAAGAATGATATGGTTATAAGGTTCTAAACTGTATGGATCTACACATTTACGAACATGTTGAAATCCTGGCTAAGTCATCTCTCTATGTTTATAGCACGCAAACATGCTGTTCTCTGCTGTTAATATCATTTTAGGAATTCCCTTCACATCTCTCCTTGATTAAATCTCTTGTTTTCTGTGTCCCACATTTTCCTCATTTTTAGTTTGTTATCTCATGTTTATGGAGCACATAGTACAATTTCTTCATAAGAATCAGCATGTAGAAAATATGTTTTTTGAGATATTGCACATCTCCAAGTCTTTATTCTAGTGTCTGCTGAATTAATACTATAGAATTCTAGATTAGATTTAATTTTCCTTCAGAATATGGAACAAAAGAATCTACCCACCTCCTGGCATTGCTCTTGAGAATTCTGAAGCAATTCTGATTTTTACTAATATATGTATATGTGTGTGTCTTTTTATCTTTCTTTTTGTGAGCAATTAGAACTGTGTATTGGTTCGTAAGTGCTGTTCTTACTTTCACAGTAATATGCTTAGTTTAATCCATTATGATGGGTGCTCAGTAGGTCCTTTTTGTAAAGAAATTTATGTTCTTATTTTGGGAAATCTGCTTGCATCATTCTTCCTTCTTTTTCTGCTCTGACCTTCTCTAACTCATACTATTTGGATATTGCATCTCTTTAATGCGCTTTCCAATTTTCTCTCCTCTTTTTCATACATTTGGTTTTTTGTTCTATTTCTCATAGATTTTCCATATTTATCTTCCAGACCTTCTATTTCTTTCTGTTTCTTCTCTAGTGTGTTCATGATGTTTTTATGAAGAAGCTAAAGAGTTGAAATAGGACTATCTGGAAGTATTAACATATATGACAAAGGGCTAGGAAGTATAATACACATTCATCTTTGTTTCTTTAAATTCCATGAGAAGTGCTTAGTACATAACAGACTCTCAATAATTTTGTCATGGAAGAAAGAAAGAAAGAAAGAAAGAAAGAAAGAAAGAAAGAAAGCAAGCTAGATTCTAGTCCCAACATATATGTCTTTCCTATGTTGTCATCCTCATAGTATGACCTCTAATGGTCTCCATTTCTAGCTAGAAATTTAAGACCACATTTTCTCTCTGCCACTGACAACTCTAAAATTAGTTGCTTCTACTAATTCTACTTTTTAATACCATCCCCTGATGATGAATATCATTATATAATACACAAACACAAATTTTAGTTAACTGAAATTTTTAAATTATCTCAAATATAAAACTTACTATACAGGCTAAGTAAAAGAATTGAACTCTCTAGTACTTGAAATCCACTAAAAATCCATCCCAATTTATTATGTTTTTGCTAGACCTTAACTATTTAATTCTAGTAAACAAACCAGGACTGCAATTTGGTAAACTGATTTCTTCCTTGAATAAATTTCAAAATTCTTTCTTGTATTATGTATCATACAGTGATCCAGCCACCCATATTGGTTCGTTAAAATGTGAAATAGTTTCATACAATTCTACTGATTAAGCAGGGGTCATGTGAAGAATTTTCTTGTGAAGTGGAACAGTGCAAAAGGTTTATATATCTTGGTAGTGATTACAGGGAAGCTATCAAGCTTTATCACACAGGCAATTCATATTTTAAAAAATAGTTTCAAAGTAAATCTTTCAAATTCTAGGCATCTATACCTTTAAATCAGTCGGACAACAGCCAGATCTTTTAAAACCTTGGACTCTGTTTGTCAATCCACTAGCTTAAAAAGCATGCTTTTCATTCCTCTTTTTAAATAAAAGCAGCCTTGTCTGCACTGATTTCATCATCTCCATTGAAAATGTTTATCTGCCAAATGAAAAAGAAGAGTACAAATTAGAAACACTGATACATCTTCTGACATTATTCATTTAGAAGCTAGTTCTCAAGTTGTCATTACATTTACCACATAAAAATTAGAAATGATTTGTTTGGAGACCTACGGCTATTTCTAGACCCAAGATGTTTGGACAACTGTAGATAAAGTTTCATTATCAGACTGAACTAAATATGCTATAATTATATATAAATCAGGATGATTTTTGTTCCATTAACTTAAGTTATTAATCTACTCAGGCCAAGCAGCAGGATACCATCATTCTCCAAAATTATACAAGTGTATTTCCCAGCCAAAAATGTAAAAAGTGATGTTTGAAAATTAAGGTCAAGGATTGGTTGGACAATACTCATGTTTCTATGATCTGATTGTTTCCATCTTTCTTCTGGTCTGTGAAATTCAGCCTACTTTCACAAAACCTGTGTTTCCTTATGTTTCATTTGTATTCATCACACTTGAAATTATTAGTTAAATGTCTATTTTTTCCAATAAACTTTGGGCCAGGGCCCTCTGCTGTCTTATTCTGTATGTCTAATAATACCATATTAGGTATCAATATTTGTTTAATGAATTAGCTAATGATAAATGAATGCAGAAAAAGAAACCTAATTTATTAGACTTAGAATTGATTTAGGTAGGGAATGGAAGTTGGAAAGTTCGAATGACCCTGTATTTTCCAAAAATTTTACATGATAATAGTTTTTTAAAACTTTAGTATGCAAAATGTTATATACATGGAGTTAACAAATAGTAAAAAAAGAATGATGGCATAAGTAGTTGAAAATGTTGATTTTTTAGTTACCTAAGTCCTAGGGAAAGTAGGAAACCAAAAGCAATTCATAATTCTGTACTTAAATATTTAAGAAATAGGATTTAAGGATTCATTAGCGTACTGAATTATTATGATTTCTAGACCAATTAGCACCATAATTGATTTAAATAACATACGAGATGCAGACCTCTAAGAATATTTACCATGTTAATCAAACAAAGAATTACACTGAAATATGAGAAAATTTGCCTTTCTAGCATATCAAAATCTTATACTTGGGCAAAGATGACATTTTTAAGAACTTACTTTTCAATATAGAAAATTCTTGCTGATTTTGCATTTTATGTTCTTATTAAAGCAATTTTCTAATGTTTTCTTTTCATATGTTAAGATATTTTGTTTATAAAAGAATATGTAATGTTTCCCTGTAGGGCTACAAACATGACTAGAATGCTACATAGCAGTGCTTCGGATATAATCTAAAAAAAATGTCCTTATGTGCAACAGCAGAGACCAATGATTCATGAAATTACTCAATGTTGGGTATATTCCTTCTTATAGAACTAATAGTTTACACAAGACATTTTCCTTCCAACTTTGAATACAAATATAAATTCTACTCAGTATGTCAGCATTTACATTAAAATGAATTTCCTACTCATGGGAAAAGCTTTAATTAAGTGTATTTAGAAGTTTGGAAATCAGCAGCACATCATGGTGAACAATTTAAATGTGATTTTGCCTACTTGGGCTGGAATAAAACAAGTAACAGAAGAGAAAGAAAGAAAAAAAAATGGGCAAGAGATCTTTCTTTTGCCTATTAACAAAACCATTACTTTTTCTGCATCTATACCAATACACTCAACTTCCCTTCTCCTGAACAGAAGGAATGCCCATTTCCTACCATAGCCTGTTGTTCCATTTGTGCTCAGGATCCCATCACAGCTCACCGCTCAAGACTCTACTTTTGAAACTATCCCCATTTATCCTACATCAACTTTTTCTTCTTTAAACTTGATTTTTCTCCAAAATACATAAGTATGCCTTAATATCTTTCATTTTATTTTTTAAATATATATTTAATATAAATTAAATACTTTATTTTAAAATCTCTGTTACTAAACTGTCCATGTGTCTTCTAACAGTCACTGTCAGATACATGAAAATGATATCACTATCTCCTAAGAGGAAATTTTTCTTCTGTAACCAAGGTAGGAACTTCTATTACCTTGTATCATGTCTCATTGTTAATTCGTTTATTTTACCAATCATAATATGAATCTTCTTTATTTTGTTCACTTGATAATTTAGTCTTTTTCCTCTAAGTAGCATATAGGCTCTTTGAGGCAGATTCCTTAACTCTTGCTCATCACTGTATCTTGAGCTCCTAGAAGTGATCAGAACATAGTCGTTATTTAATGTGTATTTACTGAATGAATAAAAGACCTATTCAAGTCTCTTTGGAAAAATTAAGTTTCAACCCTAAGTAATGATGCAAAAGAGACAAAATGTCTTATTGCCACTTGCATTTCTCTATCTTTCCTCCCTTCTGTCTTCCAGATATCTAGTACCCTTTTACTTCTTCACTGTAATATTATCTCTAGTATTTTGCCCTCTAGACAGTCCTCATTGTCCAAAATAATAACCATTTCAAAAAATCACTCAATTCATTTAGCTCATGTATCTTTAGATGAGCAGTAAGACAAGCCCAGTTATTTAATTTAATTAATTCATGTCAAGGCAAAAAAAATAAGATTTGTATTTTTTTCCCTACCAGCTTTCTCAAGTGCATATTAGATTGTTCAAAGGAGCAATCATATTGTAACTCTTGTTGGCAAGAAATCAGACTCTGTGTGATTCTCCAAACATCTTTACTAATTCCTAAGGAGATCTGTGTAACTGTTTCCCAATTTTAACCATTTCTTTTACTATCATGTAATTAGCCCTGGGCATAAATACCTATTTTCTAAAACTACTTTCATCATTTTTATCCTTCCAAACCTATTTATCCTGCTTTTCTTATCTCTATTAATGGGAATATCATCTACCTTTATCATATATGACCATCATCATATGATTTTATTGCTCAAGGCACAAAAAGATTATCACCTTCTCTCACCTCTTACATAGTGACCAAATATTCTCAACCCTATCTGAAATATAACATGAAATCCATAAATTCATCTTATTTACATCCCTATTTTTTCCATCTTCATTGAGGACCTTGTGGTGTGCCTCTAGGGTAAACCTTCTTCCACACATCTCCTTTTCCACACAGCTAGTATGATCTTGCTAGAATGCAAACTTTCCAGACCATTTCCACTTACAACAGGAAAATAATACCTTCAGGATCTAGTATATGTTTTCCTTCTCAAACTACTCTCAACTTTTCCACATGGAGCACATGATAATTACAAGTAAAACCAGCATTTAGAGACCTGGTTTACGGCGACATGGCTAAATGCACCAAGAAGGTCAGAATCCTGGGTAAATATGGGACCCGTTATGGTGTCTCCCTCAGGAAAATGGTGAAGAAGATTGAATAAGCCAGCACACCCAGTATACTTGCTCCTTCTGTGGCAAAACCAAGATGAGAAGACAAGCTGTGGGGTTCTGGCATTGTGGCTCCTGCATGAAAACCATTGCTGGTGCCACCTGGACCTACAACATCACTTCCGCCCTCATGGCAAAGTCAGCCATCAGACTGAAGCAGTTGAAGGACCAGTAGAAGCTCCACCATTTGAAACACTGCTAACCTATATTAAATGGGTTAATTTATGTAACAAAATTTTTTTAAAAAACAACATTTATTGGGCACTTACTCCATTCCAGGAGGCATTATAAATATTTTGTTAGGTCCGTAATCAAAGGAGCGAGGCTGATACAAAGCGAAGGTCAAGCAGCAAGACTGATACAAAGCGACGGTCAAGCAAGCTTTATTTCGCACCAAGCATCAGTCAAACTGACAGTTTGGGGCCGCCTCTTACAGAGAGGGCAACCACTCCCAGCCTCACAGACTAACTTTTATAGAGCAAAGGCCATGAGGTTGAGCCTGGCCACACACAGGAGGCCAATGAGATTGCAACACACAGAGAAAGCTGCACAGTCATGCTAGGTCACACACAGGTGGCCAATTGAATTACAATTTACCCCATAGTAGATATTTGAACTAGTCTATCACCTTGGTCAGAATTGGCACCCAAAAGGTGCCCAAAAGGTGGGGCCCACACTCCTTGGTAGCTGGGGAGACAGTATGCGGGCTCCACTGATTGGATGTCTCCACCTGGCCCGACTCATTCCTGCATTCGGGCTCTGTTATCTCCACCTGACCTGACCCGCCCTTGTATTTGGGCTCTATTATCAGGGACTGGTCGACCATAATTTACTACATAAACAACAAAAATGGCTGTTTAACTGAGATGGAGCCGCTCTGGCTAAACAGGCCCTTACAATGTCACCAAGATAATCTCATTTATGTCTTAAAATAACACACTAAGAAAAAAGTACTATCACTGTAATAAATGTTAAAATGAATAAAGTAAGGCCTAGAGAGGTTAAATCATTGTCCCATGCAAATGAAGGGAGTCAGGAATCAAACCCAGGTTAGCCTGCCTCCAGAGTTCATAGTCTATTTTTTAAATTTAATTTTTAAATTAAATATATTCGATATATGCAAGTTTAACATTTTGTAAGTTTAAGGTATACAACCAGTTGATATACATTTATATATTGCAGTATGATTGCCACTGTAGCTTTAGCTAGAACCTCTACCACATCACATAATTATCATTTCTTTTTTTTTTTTTAAGATTTAATTTTCTTATTTGACAGAGAAAGAGTCAACGAGAGAGGGAACACAACCAGGGAGAGGGACAGAGGACGAAGCGGGCTTCCCGCTGAGCAGGGAGCCAGTCATGGGGCTCAATCCCAGGACCCCGGGATCATGACCTGAGCTGAAGACAGACGCTTAACATCTGAGCCAGCCAGGTGCCCCATAATTATCATTTCTTAATAGCCGCACTCCACAGCATCTTGTCGTTCCCCCATTTAAAAAAAAAAAAAAATGTTGTCTTTCATCTCTATCATCATTGCTGTGCAAAAAACCTGAGGCTTGGGGTGCCAGAGTGGCTCAGTCTGTTAAGTGGCCAGGTAAGCAGCCATGTCTTGGTTTTGGCTCAGGATCATGATCTTGAAGTTGCAGGATCCAATGCTGCATCAGGCTCAGAGCTGAGCACAGGATCAGCTTCAGATTTTCTCTCCCTCTGCTCCTCCCCTCCTCTCTTTAAATTAAAAAATAAAAAGAACCTGGGGCTTAGTGGAGCACCTGAGCGGCTTTGTCAGTTAAGCATCTGATTTAATTTCAGCTCAAGTCATGATCTCAGGGTCTTGGAATGAAGCCCCACATCATGCTCTGTGCTCAGCAGAGTCTGCTTGGGATTCCCTCCCTTTCTCTCTGCCCCTCCCGCCTTATGCTGGCTCTTTCTCCATCTCTCTAATAAATAAATCTTTAAAAAAAAAAAAAACAAAAAACAAAAAAAACTTGAGGCTTAGTGAGAGTAGATAAATTTCCCAAGATTGCAAAATCGTAAAATTATAGCATGGGCCTGAACCTAGGCTACTCTGAATTCACCCTGCTCTGCCTCTGCTCTTGGACTGTCTGGTCCCTAAGATGAGATGGAGAGTCCCATAGACACTCTGTCTTCTAATATATACTTGATCACTGACTACAGTCAGAGGACTTTATTAAATGCCTTGGGCTGTACATGGCAATGTTCAAAAAAGGAAAGATGTTATTGGAGAATGCTGACTATTTCTTTCTCTCCAAATGCCATCCATCAATAGTCAATTTGTGCAAACATCAAATCGGTGCTATTTTCTTTTGAAGTATAAGGAGAAAACATTAATTTGTATGAATTTAAGCATGTGATTAAAGCATGAAATTCTTCCCAGTCATGACTATGAGAAAGGTTTGAAATGAACTGTAGTCCTCACACCACCGTGTATTAATGTAATCTTCCCAAGGGCCCATAGCTAGGAATGTTTCAATGGCTCAAGTGCACCCATGGGTGGTTATCCGGAGTGCATGTAGATTCAGAAACAGCTTCTGTTTTGAGTGAAGACCAAAAGAGGTGTTGAAATTCCATAGAACATTGTCATTATAAGTCATATTTGGCAAATGTTTTAATATCTAACACAAACTACAATTTTTTTTTACTTTTTTCTCCTCCAAGGCATAAAGTATCAGAAAATATTTTAGACTCTCCTTATATTGAAAGAGAAGTAAACACAGCTAAACATACCTGTAGGCTAGAAAATTAGCATACAGATTTTTTGCTGTTGTTGATCACAGACCATATAAACCAAATAAACAATAGTAAAACTATGCAATAGTTCTAATACAGGAGCCACATTAGTGATCAGTTCATTTTGAAAGTAAATTTATTGCAGATAGCTATAAATCATAAAAATCCTTTGGCATAATAAGTAAAATATAATTTTACATTGTCTAAATGTCCTCTATCATGGTAGAAAGACAGTTTTAGCTATTGTAACTGGTGTGGTGCATGGACTCTCATTTTATAAATATTTAGGCTCTGACAGTCAAAGTGTATAACTGAGAAGAGCAGAGCCCAGTGCAGAAGATGAACACCAGCCCCTGAATAAACTGGAGAAGACATGAATGTAAGCATGGCCGTTCTTTTATTGCACTATGCTTTGTTTACTTTTAGACACTGTGTATCAATAAAGCCACAGGTGTCCAGTCTCCCACTAGGTTGTCACCAGAGAGTTTATCTTTTTGGCTTTTGAGTTTCTGTAATAACGTTATTCAAAAGATGAACCCATTTCACTTTTATTAACTGGGAAGTAATTTAATATGAACAATTTGAATAATTCCTTCTGAAAATATATTTTTATGGCAAATCTGTTGCTTGGAGTCTTAGGGTCTGATAAATGACAATCTAAACAGTTATTACTCACTGCAAAATGGTCAAAGACAAGGTTTAGTTATACCAAGCTGAAACCTTCCTTACTTCCAATAATTCTCCCATTAAAGGCCCAAACACAATCATGCCAATTCTAGAGGCAGAACATATGAACAGAGCAATCTGTCTAAAATAGTATTCCTGCTGAGAAAACACAAGAAGACCATGAAAAAAATCTCTACTTGAAGGAAAAGGCAAATAGCAAAAATAATGAGCTTTCAAGATAGAGACAGAGCAACTCTCTTCAAAGATGATATAGACAACTACTTATACACAGCATTGATGAAATATAATTCAGAATAAAACTTTCAAGAAAAGTCATAATTACTGTAATCGC